TTGAAATGTCTGACTTGAAAGCCCCACTTAGTATCTATTTCTTGTTGAACATCCAAGCGCATGGATCCAAACTGTAGGTCAGTAGTGATTAAGAAAATGGATTGTGAAAAGAGCCAGGATGACTGACAGGGTGAGCTGCAGGACAAGTCTGTGGGAGCAGGCTACGAGGCACAGTCCCCTCCATGCCAGCACGAGGAGGACTTGGACACGCGTGCTGTGCTCGTCGTTTTCTCTAGGAGAGAGGCCGTTTGGCTGCATGTTAGAGGGGAAGGAAGGAGTACTGAGGCCATGGATGGATCCGTGGTTGTGGTTCTGAGTTCTCATTCCCACGTCTCACACTGCCCTCTGTTCCTGCACCCTGAGCCAGCTCCTTCAGCTTCTGTCCGACCATTGGCCCTGGCCTTGCTCTGCACATTCTGGTGGCAGTGTCTCACCTTTTAAAATCTCGATCAGCTCAGTTTCTGATTCCCAGAAGTGTAATAAATAAAGCTCTCTCACTGGGGACTCTTCCTCCTGTTCTCTATGGTTTATTTCTTTTTGTACTTTGATATTTTAGTTCTCTTTGACTTCAGAAAGGATTGGCTGGGGTTTTCAGAGAATATGTTGCTTATATTTTTCTCTGAAACTGGAAACTCATATCTTCACTAGAATGTAAATAACCAGTTTACATAAGTAACTCATCTAATAACTTCTATTTCCTGAAATATATTTAAGAACAAATAATTAAGCCAAATATAAGGTGCCAACACTGATGTTAGAGTTACACCAGCGCTTACGTATGTAGGGAATAGTTCTATGAGCCCTGAGGATAGGTCCTTAGTCTCTAGGATTACATTCCATAGCAAATGAGATTAGGGACCAGGAGCAGGTGCTAAAGTGGAACATGGACAGTTACAAAAAGTGACAAAGTGGTCTGAAGTAAAGGATGGGATGTTAAAAACTCCCGAAGCAGATCATGTAGGTCTCATTTGCCTCAGCGAGGGGGCGGCATGGTGTCACAGCAGAAGCATACAGAAGCTTTGGCACCAAGGTCTCAGGCCATTGTGTGAAGGTAAATACATTTAGTTCAGGGCCCCTGCTTAAGGTGGTAGAAGAATCTTGCACTTGTTTGTTTACAACGGAAGGATCGCTTTTTTCTAGATTGGCAGTATGTCTGCCTTTCTAGATGTACCCAAGGTACTCTGTAACTTACTATTTTTAAAAAGAGTTATTTATTTATTTAATTTCATTTGTTGCTATTTATTTATATTTTTTAAAATTTGACCAGACAGAGAGAGAAAGGGAAAATAAGAAAGTAAGCCACCAGGTTCTGGGCTTGAATTGTGGTTAGCCATATGGGAATACAGTGCCCTTAACTGTGCCACCTGCCAGCCCCCTTAGATATAATTTTTAAAACCACTTCTCTTTCTCTCTCTCATGAGAGAATAAGAAGGAGATAATAGAGAGGATAGAAAGAGAAAAGGGAGAGACATGTATTTTTTGAGAAGGTCTTTCCACATCACAGTACTCCTATCCTATCCTCTCAGTTAGCCAGAGTCACAGTATGTGCAACCTGTTTAAATCGGCCTGGGAACTGGAACTGGCAGAAGGTAGGAGGCTATCTACAGCCTGGCCTGGGTGCCACTCACCACTCCGCCCCATGGCAGTCCTGTGCTACTACCGTGTTTCACCGTCCCAGCTCACTCCACAGTCACATTGGAGCCAGAGTTTGGGACAGGAACAACCACCTGAAGACACTGTGGCTCCAGAAGGATTCTTCCCCTGCCTCCTCTAGTGGAGAAATTCCAAACCCTAAAATTCCCATTGTGGATATCAGCACTCCTACCCACAGAGAAGTAGGGAAACTGACACAGAGCTCTCACACACCATAGAAAAGTGCACAATTTTACAGCTGCAGAAGCTGATCTAAAAAACTAGGAAGAGATGATCACCTTTCCCAATGCCTAAAAGCTAAAGCATAGCTCCCAGAAATGTAAGAAAACAAGGTAGTACCTATCTCCTCATTGAAGAAATACAGTTACACCCCAGCAATGGAAAGAACACAAGAAATCATAGAAATGTAAGAAAAGTAATTCAGAATATTCATCATAGCAAAACTCAGTTAGATGCAAGAGATAACCAATTCCAGGACATGAGAAAATTATTCCATGACTTACAGGAGGAATTTTGTAAAGAGATAAATACTCTAAAAAAAGAAACAAACAGAAGAAATGAAGAATACAATATAGGAAATCAAAACCTCCCTCAAAACGCACTAACAGCTGTTTAGACTATGTAGAAGATGGACTCTTCAACCTTGAAGACAAAACTTCTAAGACAAAACCAAAAAGAATGGAAAAATAACTTTATTCAGAACAACATATGGGAAATTCTAGATATGAAAACTTCCCCAATCTAGAGGAATATTCAGACATCCGGAGCCAAGAAATTTAAAGAACACTAAATAGATTCAGCATAAGACAGTCCTTTTCAAGGCACATAATAGCCAAATTGGTAAAAACAAAGAAAAAGAATATTCTAAAAATGGCAAGAGAGGGAGCCAGCAGGTGGTGTAGTGGTTAAGGTGCTGGATTCCCACATGGTAAACCGCGGTTCGAGTCCTGGGCCTGGCAGAAGATCATGCCTGGTGTGTGTATGTGCAGGCCTAGGAAAAGAGTGGAAGAGAAAGGATTGCAGCATGGCCACCCACGCCCCTTCCCCACCCGGTGGTGATTTCTCACTTTCCCCTCCCACTGTCTCTCTCTTTGGCAAGCGCACACATCCTATAACAAAACAACTTTAAAAAGAAAGAAAGAAAGAAAGAAAAACACCAAGTTACTTGCAAAGCTTACTCCATTAGACTAACAGCAGACTTCTTACCTGAAACAATGTAGGCAAGAAAGAAATGGGAAGACATATTTAAAACCTTGAAAACAAAATTAGAGCCAATAATACTATACCTGGCAAGACTATTTTTGAAATGGGAAGAAGTGAAATAGTTTCCAGATAAACAAAACCTGAAAGAATTCACCAACTCTAGACCAACTCATCAGGAAATACTCAAGGGAATACTACAAGAGGAAAACAGAAGGGGGATAACAGATAAATAGACAAAGGGAGACAAGGAAATACAAATTTTAAAAATGTCTAACAAAATAGGGATAAATCTGAACATATCAGTAATAATGTTGAATGTTAATGGATTGAATTCCCTAATTAAAAGAGACAGACTACCTGAATATATAAAAATAAATAAATAAATAATAAAATAAAAACTAAAACCCAAAACAACCATCTATGTGTTGCTTCCAAGGAACATACCCCATTGATAAAGACATACATAGACTGAACGTGAAGAGATGGGAAAAGTCATTTCATGCAGCAGAAACCACAGAAAGGCTAGAGTCATTGTACTGATGGTAGATAAAATAGACTGCAAGATAAAGATGGTGAGAAGAGACAGTAAGGACACTATGTACAGCATTAAAAGGATGGTTTCACCAAGAAGTAACGATTAAAAATATTTGTGCACCCATCACTGGGGCATCCAGATATGTAAAAGGAAGACTGCTAGATCAATAGGAGATGGATTGGATCACACTAATTTTGGGGATTGAAACACTCATTTTCACAACTCGACAGTCATCTAGCACAGCACTAGTAGCTCACTGACACTGTAGACCATTTGGACCTGACATTTATCAAATATTTATAAAATATTCCACCCAGCAACTACAAAATATGCTTTTTTTCTCATCTTCACATGGAACATTTTCAAAGATTGATACTTAGGGCATAAAACAAGCCTACCAATTTTAAACTATAGGAACTATATCTAGCACCTTTTCTTTCTTTCTTTTTTTTTTTTTTTTTTGGGGGGGTTTTTGTTTCAGGGGGGGCTGTTCCCCCAGAAAGACAGAAAGTGAGAAATCACCCCCTGGGGGGATGGCCATACCACAATCCTTTCTCCTCCATTCTCCTCTCAGGATCTTGGGCACTCATGTACACGCGCCCGGCGTGAGTTTAAGCTACCGGGTCTGGGACTTGAACCACAGTCAACTACATGGGAGTTCAACGACATAGCCATTGCACTAACTGCTGGTCCCTCCACCACCTTTTTGACCACGTGAAATTAAACTAGAAATCAACTACAGAAAGAACCCTGAAAAACGCACAAAAATATGAAAACTAAATAACCTACTCCTAAACAACTTCAAAACTACTGAAGAAGTTAAAGCTGAAGTCAAAAGACTTATTGAAACCAGTGATAATGAATACGTGGTTCACCGGAATCTGGGTCACAGTGAAAGTCTTTAGACGGAAGTCCATAGCAATTACTGCTCCCAAGAAAAAAACAGAACGTTAGCAAATAACTTGATACGTCTCAAGGAACTGGAAAAGCAACAACAAAAATAATCCCCAAAATACTAGAAGAAAAGAAATAATAAAGATTAGAGTTGAAGTAGAGAATAAAAGAATTATACGAAACCCCAGCAAAAGCTGGATTTTTTTTTTTTTTCCATTGTGGATAAACAAAATTGAGAAGCCATTAGCACTACTAATCAAGAAAAGCACGGGGGGCCAGCAGGTGGCATGGTGGATAGGGGCACTGGACTCCCACATGGCCAACCACGGTTCAAGTCTCGGACCTGGTGGCTTGCTTTCTCACTTCCTCTCTCTCTGTCTTTCTCTGATCAAACTGGAAAATAACAATGATAATAATAATAAATAAAGTTAAATAAAATAATTCTTTTTTTTTTAAAAGAAAAGCACGGAAAAGAATCAGACGAATAAGATCAGGAGTGAATCTGGGAATATTACAACAGACGTAGCAGAAATAAAAATAAGTGTGAGAGAGTATAATGAGTGACTATATGCCAGCAAACTAGAAAACTGAATGAGATGGACAAATTTCTGGACATGTACAAACTAACTAGAATGAACCAGAAAGAAATAGAAAGCCAACAGACCAGTAACAAGCAGTGAGGTTAAGTTGGCGATAATCTCCTGACAAGGAAAAGTCCAGGTCCTGATGGCTTCCTTCTGAATTTCATAAAACTTTTTAAAGAGAGTTAACACCAGTGCTCCTCAAGCTATTACTGAAGGTCCGAAAGGAAGGAAATCTTCCCAACTCATTCTTTGAAGCCTCCAACATCTTGATACCAAAAGCAGACAAGGATATCCCTGATAGATACAGATGTAAAAATCCTCAGCTAGCAAATTGAATCCATCAGCACATTGAAAAGATCATACACTCTGACCAAGGAGGCTTCATCCCAGGGATGCAAGGATGATTCACCATATGCAAAACAGTAAGTGTAATAGATCATGGTAACAGAAGAAAAGATGAGAACCGTATGATCATATCAATTGATGCAGGAAAAGCATTTGATAAAGCACAACATTCCTTCCTTCATGTTTAAGACAACAAAATAGGTCTAGAACGTTTCTGAACTCAGTAAAAGCCACATATGACAGACCAATTGCTGATATCATACTGAATAGAGCAAAGTTGAAAACTTTCCATCTAAAAAGTAGAACAAGACAAGGTTTCTCACTTTCTCCACTTCTTTTTCAGCATAACACTAAAAGTCCTAGCCACTGCAATTAGACAACAGAATAAAAATGCATTCAAATCGGAAGAGAAGCAGCTAAATTATCCTTGATCGTAGATAACATGATTATATGCAAATCTATAGCATTTTTATACGCCAACAACGAACACACTGAGGCAGAACTGAAGAAACAATTCTGTTTAGTAGACACACACACACACACACACACACACACACCCACCTGCAAAGAAAGCTAACGAAAGAGGTGAATGACCTCTACAAGGTAAATTGAAAGCCTAAGGAATAAATTGAGAATGATACCAAAAAATGGAAAGACATCTCATGTTCCTGGATTTGATAAATCAATATGTCGGTTCTACCCAGATTAATTTACAAATTTAATGTGATTCCATTCAGATTACCAGGGACATTCTTCATAGAAATAGATCATAAATTTTATCTGTAATCATAGAAGGCCTCATGTCACCAAAGCAATACTGTGCAAAAAGAAAAGTAGAAGGCATTTTGCTATCTGACCTTCAAATATATTACAAAGCTGTGATTATTAAAACAGCATGATACAATCACAAAAACAGACACATAGATTAGTGAAACAGAATAAAGAGCCCAGAAATAACCCCCAATCATATAGTCAGCTGACCTTTATCAAAGTGCACAAGACAATGCAGTGGAAAAAGTAAATCTTCTTAGCAAACGATGCTGAAAGAACTGGATATCTACCTGTAGAAAAATGAAACCTCTATCTCATCGTTAACAAGAGCCAACTCAAAATGGACCTGTAGATTAGGACCAGCAGGTGGTGTAACGGTTATGTCGCAGGACTCCCCATATATCCAACTGTGGTTTGAGTCCTGGACCCAGGGAAAGTCATGACACATTTTTGCATAGAAAAAACATAGAAGAATACATCCTGACTTTCCAATGGTCTAATAAAACTTATTTAAGGTTGCTTTGAGGGGGAAAATGATAAAATAAGCGACAATACTTTATCTTTCTCTTATTTGTTCATTTTTGACAGCTCAATCAAGGATAGTGCCATATACATTGTTTTGAATAGATCATTTTACATCCTTGGGTCTATTAAGTGTTTCTTCCCTTTGCCCTCCTGCCCATGCTCTGCTGTCCATTGTCCTCCCTTTCAGTCTTTGGTGTCTACACTTGTTCTCTCTATAACGTCTCTGTGACCTCATGAAAATAGAAAAGGACTGAACATGTCTATCGGATTAGACGCCAGGTGGTTACTGGTGACTTGACAAGAAGACTGAATGGGGAGGTAGGAGCAGAAGAAACCAATGGCAGTGGTTGAGGGATGAAGGGAGATAAAGTGGAGGTGGAACAGGTGGACGGTTCTCTCCAGAAAAACAAGAGCTGATGCCAGAGTGTGAAAAAGGGCTTTACTGCCTTTTAGCAAGAGGAAAACTGACTACTTGACTTTTTTTCTATGTGAAAGAAACATTTGTGTTATTTTCCAATTAAGTCATGGAGAACTTTTTGTGATTCTTTGCTGTGTTCCCCAGAAATATTGTATGTATTGAAATTATTACCCAAATAAGAGTGAAGCATTAAGCTCTATATGGAGCAGGAATTGAACTTAGGTTGCCTTATCTTTAAACATAAATGATACGGACCGTATTCCAGAGATTGAAGGACATGGTGATGAATCGATTTAATGATAGGTTTGACTAGAGGATAACTGAAGATACAGTGATAGTGAAGTTCCGTAATATCTTCTGATTTCTTTCTTCCAAAGGAGCGATAGTCTTTAGTCTTACTCAGTGACAGCATAGTGCTAGCATATAGCAATAACAGTACACACGGTCAGGCTTAATTTATTTAAGAAATTGTGTTTTATTGCAGGTACTGATGATGTCGTGGGTCCCGAAGGCATGGAAAAATTTTGTGAAGACATTGGTGTTGAACCAGAAAATGTAAGTCTAACTTACTGAGTTAGGTGAATCAGTTGATTAATTTTCACACTTAAATCTTTAGTCTCTTGATCAATAAAGCAAGAATAGAGAAGTGATGGTGGTGTTGTGTTTTTGTTTTTGTTTTTAATGAGGCAACCCAAGAAATAATTTCATTTCTAGTTTGATTTCTAAGCAGGCTTTCTCCTTTATATGTGGCATGGTGCCATTTCCCCTCTCGTTTAATCTCTCGCGTGTAGGAGGTCAGGTGAGGAAGTGGGTGATGTGGACATGTCTCTGCATTAGTTGCTTAAGCCAAGGGTACAGTTAAATCCAGGACTTCGAGTAAGTATTCATGAGTTTCGAATGGTTTGTACAGATTCAGTATTCCTTATCTGTAATGCTTGGGACCAGAGTTTTTCTGGATTTTGGAATATTTGTATATATATAATGAAATATTGGGAGGCTGGAACCCACACCAAAGCATGGCATGTATTTGTCCCATATACAACTAATACACAGAGCTTGACGATAGCTTTACATAGTATTTTTGTCTTGCATCATTTTGAATGTGACCTGTCGCAGGAGGTCAGTGGTAGAAGCTTACATAAGTGGTGTCATGTTTGTACTCAGAAATTTTTGGATTTTGGGATATTTTAGATTTTCAGAATAGGGATGTTCAGCCTATAATTATCGTGAGTTTTTCACGGAACTTTCCCCTCCAATTGGATAGCTCAGCAGGTGGTCACTTTATGTAGTGCAGAAGCCCTCGGTACATCCTGTAAGACATTTTATATGCTTAATTGATTTTGCCTAATTCTTGGCCTCATGTTACTGTGACTTTTTTTTTTTTTTTAAATACTTTTTCTACATCATCTCTCTTACACTGAAATGAAAAATTTTGTTCGTGCATGTGCCCTGGCTCTTCAGTTTTTCTGGATTTTGGAATATTTGTATATATATAATGAAATATTGGGAGGCTGGAACCCACACCAAAGCATGGCATGTATTTGTCCCATATACAACTAATACACAGAGCTTGACGATAGCTTTACATAGTATTTTTGTCTTGCATCATTTTGAATGTGACCTGTCGCAGGAGGTCAGTGGTAGAAGCTTACATAAGTGGTGTCATGTTTGTACTCAGAAATTTTTGGATTTTGGGATATTTTAGATTTTCAGAATAGGGATGTTCAGCCTATAATTATCGTGAGTTTTTCACGGAACTTTCCCCTCCAATTGGATAGCTCAGCAGGTGGTCACTTTATGTAGTGCAGAAGCCCTCGGTACATCCTGTAAGACATTTTATATGCTTAATTGATTTTGCCTAATTCTTGGCCTCATGTTACTGTGACTTTTTTTTTTTTTTAAATACTTTTTCTACATCATCTCTCTTACACTGAAATGAAAAATTTTGTTCGTGCATGTGCCCTGGCTCTTCCACCGTGCAGTTGACATTACATTAGCCTCCAGTCTAACCTGGAAGAGGTTTCCAGGAAGCATCGGCTTCATTCTGTTTCCAGGATGTCATGTATGTCATGCTTTTAGAAGAGACCAGGAGTTGAGAGTTCACACTTGGTTCTTTAGCTTGTTTTTACCTTACATTTCTGTGCTTCTGTCCTCCGCCCTCTCCACTCTGCCTTCCAGTAGCACTGTTAAGTTTTGTACAGAGGCCCAGCAATAGCATGGTAGTTAAGGTGGCTGGATCCCACGTGGCTGGCCTTGCAGTTTGAGCCCTAAACCCAGTGGCTTGAAAAACACACCGGGCATGTAGGCATGTAGGCATGAGTGTATGTGTGCCCCAAATCCTGAGAGGAGGGAGAGATGGAGAGGGATCACGGCATGGCTATCTCTCTGGGGGGGGGGGCAAGAAGGGGGGCATTGCTTTCTCACTCGGTGTCTGTCTGTCTTTGTCTTTTGCCAGCAAGCACATGCATCCTATAGGAAATTTTTTAAAAATATTTTTTGAAGAGCCTTTGGAATATTTTTCACTCATACCATGGATTTTTATCTTGCATTTTTTATTTTAGTGTGTTCTAGTTCAGGTATCTTGGTAAATTATCTTATCTGGTGAAAACATTGGGGGAGTTGAATCATAGCATTTTACCTGGTCGAGTCCATAGTTCAGTCCAGAGACTTGGGCAAAGACCACTGATAGGAGTGGGCCGCGGTAGGAGAGTGACTTCCAAGTAGTCCAACCAGAGGGGTAAGAGTGAATGTTCTTGAGAGGGGATTGAGGGGTCCCACCCAGAGGACAGTCACCACATGGGCAGAGGAGCAGGAAGCAGGGCCCACACCCACAGGCAGAGGGTGAGAAGATTGGGAGGCAGGAGTCAGACTGCAGGCATGTGGGGGCGTGAGCTGGGCATCGAAACCCAGGAAAACCTGTAGGGGGCGGTGTGTGGGTTCCGATTCTAACCCAAAAGGAAGGGAGGCATAGCTCTTGAAAGTCCCTCATCTCCAGCCTAGCTCTCAATAATGATAGCTATTATTAGCATCCTGTTTTTGCTCTAATGAGTGCTTTAGAACTATTTCTGTAGGAATAGAAGTAGTCTTAAATTGTTGAAGCATGTTGAAGATGAAAAGACCAAACTCAGAATATTCAGGCTATCGGGGATCTTCTAGTGTGTACTTCAGTTCCAAGACTACCCGTAGAAGTTCTGTTATTTTCTACCATCACTAAGACAGAGCGGTTGCTGAATAAACCCCAACGTGCCATGAGTTGTGCATGCATCCTAGTGTTGGAGATGGTAACGTTTGAAAGAAAGCGGTGGGACCGGCAGATGGCATAATAGTTACATCACTGGACTCCCATGTAGTTGACTATGGTTCAAGAATCGGACCAGGTGGCTTAAAACTCACACCAGGCACATGTGCGTGTGTGCCCAAGATCCCAAAAGGAGAATGGAGGAGAAGGGATTGTGGCGTGGCCATCCCCCTGGGGGTGATTTCTCGCTTTCTGTCTCTCTGGCGAGCACACACCCAAGTACGGTCTTCTAAACCTTCATCACTGAAACGTGTTTAAAACCTTGACCTTGCGTGATGTGTATGGGTTAGGAAATTTAGGCAGGCTTGTAAAATTCAGGTCTGTTTTTGTTCATCAAGATGAGCATAAAATCCTGTAAGTATTTAGCTCCCTTTTTAGTTAATTTAAGAAAGCCTGTTTTGAGCAGGGGATTGTTTCCGATTGCAAACGTCTGCTTTGTTGTGTTTTACTTCTGTGTGTGTGTCCACGGGCCCTCAACATCTAAAAAAATGTACTAGACAGGTGTTAATGTGGAAGTTTTTACTATTTCTGATAGAGAGTTGAATACAAACATAATTTGAGAACATACCCAGTTTGTGTTAGAAACTGTGGGTAGGCTCACCTGGGTAGACAGACAGGAGTCAGAACTGCAGGAAATACAAGGGATGAGGAGAATATGCTACCATGTGCCTGGTTTGAAGAACAGGTAGCCTTTTCTTTTTGGAAAAGATCTTGGCAGCCCATTGGCCTCTAAGTCACCAGTTTTTAAACTATTTTAACAATGGTGGGTTGGCCAGTATAATGGTTAGTACTCACCCGTCCTGGTAATGTACTCTTTAGTAATCTAGATTTTTTTTTTTTAATCTGAAAAAAAAAAAAAAACCCGAAAACCTAGTGACTTAAAAAATTATACATACCAATTTATTTGATGACAGGTCTTAGAAATTCAGTAGGTTCTCCTGCTAATTTCCAAAGTAGAAAATCCATAAAGTCAGTATGAAGAGAAAGTGTCTCAACTCTCCAGTTATAAATTAGACCAGGCTCGAGATAGTCCGCGTACAGGCAAGCTTGTCTGCAGGAAGTTGAAAGGACAGGTCTCGTGACTCTCCATGCTCTGGTCTGGGAGATCTTAATGTACTTGCTGGCTCTGGGAGACTCCTTAAATCATCTAAAAATGATTCCTAAATGACTTCTTCCCTCATCATGTCATGTTCTCATATCATCCCGATTCCTTCTGCGACTGTCATTTGGCCTGGTTGAGCATACAGGGTGGTGGTTGGATGGTTTGGGGTAGTTTTTCCAGTAGTTAAAACGGAGCCTTTAGTTCTATGTAAAGAAATCAAATTAAGGGCCGGATGGTAAGTGTCTCTGTCCTTGGCCAGCTGTGCGCAGAAACACGTCGGGTCTCCTCTAACTGTTGCCTTTTCTGTTAGAACAGAGGGCCAGCTGTCCCCAGTGAACGCCTGGTGCCCCGGAGGGCTTGGGTGCTCCTTAGCGTGAGAGTGACTTCAGAGAGCACCAGCTCCGAGTGACAGGAGGGTCCTACGCAGGCCCTGTCCCTCTGCTTTTCCATTTTAGGACTGACAGCGTTCTCTTTCAATGATACTTGAGTATCTTGAGTCTTTGAGGAAGACGATGAAGGCATCTTCCTCTGCGCCATCACCCGTGCATAGGACTCTGGTAGCTTGAAGCAGGATGCGCCTTTGAAATACAGTTTTGTCTTTACGGTTTCTGGGTTTTGGTAAACTTTACTGTCGCTCTCTGTGTGCCCTTTTCTCCAGCATAGTTGAGTGGAAAGGTGATAAGCGGTGGCATAAAGCAGTCACCCCAGTTTCTGGCATCTGCAGCGATTCAGAGAAGATTCGCTCAGAGCAGGGGTAGCACTGCATGAGAAGGGACGGGGCCCAGCCACTCACCTGGGCTTGGTCCAGGCGTGGGTCTGTGGGGTGGGGCGAGGGCTTCTCGGAAGGATCCCCCGTGTGCTGGCTAAAGCGAAAACGTTAATTGATGTGTGGTGCAGCTCTGCTGCGTATCCCCCCCTTCCACCTCTTCTTTATAATGTATTCTTATTTTTTAATTTGCCAGATGGTACTGATGTTGCCAGAGAGAGACAGAGAACCAGAAAAAGAAGAACCCCCCGGGGGGTGGGGGGGAAGGTCATGCCACAGTTCCCTTCTCCTCCATTTCTCCACCCTGTAGCGTTTTGGGGCATGGACACACACATGCCCGCTATGTTTTTCAAGCTGTCAAGTCTGGGACTTGAACCACTTGGTTGGCCATATGGGATCCAGCTGTCTTCACCTCAGGCCACAGGCAGGCTGTGAAATAATTAGTCCATGAATGAGAGGGACAGAAAGAGAAACCACACCCTGAACAGGATCTCACAGCTGCCCCACCCCAGCCCAAGCCAGCTTGGATCACGGGCACCTATGCATCCAGCAGCCTGCCCCGTGGGCCTGCCTTTACTCTCTGGCCCCCACCCTTCTGTGTTTCTTTTTTTTTTTAAGGAATTATTTTATTTAACTTTATTTATTTACTTAAAGTTTGACCAAATAGAGACTGAGTGAGTTGGTGTGGTGGGACAGGAGTGAGAGAGCAAGCCACCAGGCTCGGGACTCGAACTACAGTCAACGATATGGGAGTCCAGTGCCCTTAACCACCATGCCACCAACAGTCCCCCCCTTCTGTGTTTTAATACCCTGCTCTGTATCTTGCTGTTTCACTTAGTAAGTCTTGGAAATTGTTCCAGACTTACATAGATAGCTTTCCCTTCTCTCCTCCTTAATGGTGTCCTAGGATTCCTTTGCTTGCAATTTATTGAGCGAAGAAGTGCTTAACCAGTCCTTCTTCACTCATAGACGTGGTTGTTTTCACCCTTTGTAACTACAAATAACACTGCAGCAAATATGTGGAATGCACGCCATGGTGGTACGCGTGCAGAAATGCCCAAAGGTCACTCTCTGTAGGTGGGATTGCCGCACTTAGGACTCCTGGTAATGTTGGTAGAGTCTGCAAGAATGACCCTCCGGAGAGCCCGCTGCCTTCACGCTGCCCCACTGTGCACAAGTCACGCCTCTGCAGACCTTCACGCCTCGTCAGCAGCTGCGCATCTGGTCCGCTGTCCTCCTAGCTGACGTTTTTCCCTAGAACTCAGTTTCGAAGTTACTCTGTTCATATTTCATGGCTAAACATTGGGCAAAATGTTGAATGTGTTCTATTGCTGAGATTGGTCTATTTCTTCTTTTTCCAAACAGGTAGTTATGCTTGTCCTAGCTTGGAAATTGGATGCACAAAACATGGGCTATTTTACTCTGCAAGAATGGTTAAAAGGGATGACTTCTCTACAGTAAGTCCCGAGGGAGCACTGGCGGGGTCCTTCCTCCGCGGGTCCCGGGGTGGCTGGGTGAGAGGAGGGAAGGCACACGGTCTTGGCTAACTTCCCTTGTGGCCACCATGTAAAGACTTACGACCCATTTTGGGGGCCAGTATGGGTGAATTTTAGCAATGAAAGGTTTTGCGTTTGTGAGGACAGACAGAATATGAATATTCTGCTATATGGTAATAATAGACTACCTTTTCTCATATATGTCAGCCATAGAACATAAGTGAACTTTTTTTTTTTATTTGAGAGATTTTTTGCTATAGGGCACATGCATTCACAAGAAAAACAGAGAGATAGAAAGTAAGAAATCACCCTGCCGGGTGGGATGGCCACACCGCAATCCCTTCTCCTCCACTCTCCTCTTAGGATCTTGGGCACACATGCACATGCACCCAGCATGAGTTTAAGCCACTGGGTCCGGGACTCGAACTGTGGTCAACTGCGTAGGAGTCCAGCGACATAGCCATTACACTAATGTTGGTCCCCATAATTGAAGATTTTCCAATAGCCACATTTGAAGGGTAGAAAGAAGCAGGTTAAGGGTTGGCTCTGTGGCCTCGTGATAAGGCAGCTGAATACCACATGGGTAGCTGTGTGGTTTGAGTCCCAGTTCTGGCAGCCTAAGAAATGCCGAGTGCTTGGGCATGTGTGCTGAAATCCCGAAGGGAGGGAGAGGTGGGAGAGGAGGGACGGCGGTGTCAGCACTGCCTGTTAGGGTGCTCTCTCCCTCTCTGTCTCTCTGGTGAGTACATATGCGGGCCAGCAAAACAAAACAAAGGAAAAGAAAAGCAAACCACATAAAATTAGTTTTTAGTTTTAAGATATTTTATTTAATCCAAAAGATCTAAATTACTGTAATTTCAGCTTGCAATCAATGCTTTAAATAATCAGTGAGCTATTTAATGTTATTTTTTCATAGGAAGTCTCCAGAGTCGGGTGGAGAACCATTTTACATTCATGGTTTATTTCACCTTGAATTAGGCATGCTGGACGCTTGGCAGTCACGGGTGCCTAGTGACAGTCCAGGTCCACAGCTTGAAAGGCAGGGCCCGAGCCTGCTGGTGGCACAGTGGTTAAGGCAGCTGGAACCCATGTGGTTGACTGTGTGGTTCGAGTCCCAGACCAGAGGCTTGAGAAACACACGAAGCCTGTGTGTGTGCATGCCCAGAGTCTCGAAAGGAGGAAGGCGGAGAAGGGATTGCGGCATGCTCACGCTCTTTCTCTCTCTCTCTCTCTCTCTCTCTCTCTCTCTGTCTCTGAGGCATAGTAAAATAAAGTTGAGTAAAGTGTAACTTATGACTAAAAATATTCATATAAAGTAGAAGGTATCAGATATTTATTTTAGCTTTGAGCACAACTAAAGCATTATTGCTCTGACAATTAAACCATAATAAAGATTCTGTTTGTGTTTCCTGGTCCCGAGTAAGGAAAAAAGCCAGCGCGTTGATGTGTTCGCTTTGTGCTTGCATATATCATATATGTGCGTGTGTACATATGTGCACATGTGTGTGTTTGCTGAGGGTATCCTTCAATAAACAACAGTAATTCCGTGTTCTGCCTTGAAAGGTCCAGTTGACGTGGGTGAGTAAGCAGCGCAGACGGTACAGCAGATGAAGTTCTGGCTCTGGACATAGACTTCGGGTCTAAAGTCAGACTTAGCGCTTTGCAGATTCACCAGGAGTAATAGACTTGGGTTTTACTGGATTAAAGTGAAGTTGAAGTCATTATATGACTGCATTTAAATATTTTTATTTTATTTTTAATTTATTTATTTTTTAGATTTTTGCCATAGGGCATGTGTGCAAGAGAGACAGAGAGAGGGAAAGTCCATTCTCCTTGCAGGATTTTGGGCACACACACCGGGTGTGACTCTCGAGCCCTTAGGTCTGGGGCTTGAACTGGTTGAGCCGTGTGGGAGTCCAGCCCCTTAACCACCACACCACCTGCTGGTCATTTGTTTTCTTTTTGGAGAGGTTTTTGTCATAGTTGCTATAGGGCGTATGCGCTCTCCAGACAGACAGAGAGAGAGACAGAGAGACAGAAAGCGAGAAATCACCCCCCCAGGGAGAATGGCCACGCCACAGTCCCTTCTCCTCCATTCTCTTGGGATCTTGGGCACACACTCACACACGCCTAGCATGAGTTTAAGCCACCAGGTCCAGGCCTTGAACCCTGGTCGACTATATAGGAGTCCAGCGACATAGCCGTTACGCCATCTGCTGGTCCTTCATTTTAAATATTTTTTTAAAGTTTATTTATTTGTGTCTTCCGTGAGTGAGAGAGAAAGAGACCACCTCTGACAGGGTCAAGGTCTGTCCCTGAAGGTTTCGTGTTCTGGAGCCTGGTGTAGGCGTGGTGAGGTGCCGTGGGGTGATGGGGTCACGGTGATGGCATCATGGAGGCAGCGCTCTTGTGAATGCTGTCTTGTGAGACCCAGCAAGCTGTGGATTTTGCGAGAAGGTAGATGTCATGAGAGCTGGCAGCAGGAGCAAGCTCTTGCTCTCTGCGGGTGCCCGCCGTCCTCCGCTCTGTCTGCCTTGTCGTAGGCTGGCCTGTTGCACGAGTGTGCCTTTGGACTGTCCAGCTGCCAGAACCGTGAGTTAAAAGCCATTTCTTTGTAAACCACCAGTGTCAGGATTTCTGTTAGCAACGCAGAAACAAAGGAGCATACCCAGTGCCCTCAGGGAGGTCTCGGTACACAAACCAGGACCTTCTCCTGTGGGTCAGCCTCTCAGCGTGCCCCTCCGCAGCCGTAAGGTGCGACACCAGTTCCGCTCGCAGGGCTGGTAGTGCCTCCTCTGCATGTGCTTCAGTGGTTCGGGGATCCTTTCCACTCTCCCTGTCTGAGCGTCACAGCTGGCCTCCAAGGAGGACGGGTCAGGCTTTCATCCTGAGCATCTTACAGATAGGGAACCTGAGGTTTAGAGAGGTCGCGTGTGTGACTGGTGACCATGGCGGAGAGGGGAAGAAAGCCCGACTTCCGATTCTTAAGTCGCGTTCTTCCTCGGACTGTACTGTCTGATGGCGGTGAGTTTGGTTTTGTGAAAGCCGAGGGTTCTTGTCAGCAGGCTTTAGGATTTTAGGGTTAAGTTCTCTGAATCCCTTTAAAATTGGGCTTACCTGCAGGGGACACCGCCTTTGCCCGAGGCCTCGCGAGCTCCGCTGTCCCCTCGCTGGCTCTCTGGTTGTGCTCACTTAGGCACAGCTGCCTCTTTGTAGGAATCCCTGTGATGGCGAGCGCATGGCTAGGTCAGGAATTAATTTTTCTAGGTTTGTAGCTTCAGAGGAAGCACCATCAGAAATTTCAGGGTCGTCATCCTTTGTCTTTTAGGGGCCCACCTTTGTGTGGCTCCCATTCTTTGTTCAGAATATCCCCCAGGGCCAGGCCTCGCTCACGTGTCCGGAGGGCCGCACCTCTGCGAAGGGGAAGGGCAGTGTTCCTGGGAGGTCGGCGGAGGGAGGGCACTCCACCAGGCTCCATTTGCCACTTTGCATGATGCGGTGGTGGCAGGTGGTTTCTCAGCGGGGACTGCCGCTCGGTGCCTACAGCTCAGGTCTAAGGACCAGCCCGTGGACTGAAGGCGTGGAGGAAGCTGCTCTTGTTGACACGAAGCTCTGAGAGTGGTTCTTCATCAGTGAGATGGAGGTGATTACTCAGGATAAAACCAGCAGATGGCGTAATGGTTACATCGCTGGTCTCTTTACACTATTGACCACAGTTTGAGTCCCAGACCCGGTGGCTTAAAACTGAGCGCCAGGCACATGTGTGTGTGTGTCCGAAATCCTGAGAGAATGGAGGAGAAGGGACTGCAGCTTGGCCTTCCTCCTGGAGGTGATTTCTAGCTTTCTGTCTCTCTCTCTCCAGTGAGCACGTGCCCTATAGCAAAAATTTTCCCCCAAAAAAAAATCTTCCTTCAAGTTTTGAGAACCCCTTTCCATTTCTCCTTCAGCCTCCCTAAATTCGGCCTTTATTCAGCAAATAACCTGAGTGACATTTATATGCCAAAGTGTGATATTCTTGGCCCTACAAAAAAAAAAAAAGGCAAGAACAAGGTAGGATCCATTAGAGGCAGAGGCATGGGCTTAGAAATGATTTTTTTAGGTAAAAGATCCAAAAGAAATACGGTCCCTTTTCTTTACGTAATTAAATTAACTAAGCCCCAAGTACCGTGTCTGTGAGGAGACTCAGAGAGAGTAATCGTTCAGGGCATAGAGAGTGATCTGTCTTTTGAACTGTTTTGTCTTCTATTTTGAAATTTTTCTTTTTTGCTCATTTTTGTTAAGAAATGTTTTGGACTTAAACTAGAATTAATACATAAGAGAAAACCTGTATTTTTATATATTATTGGGTTGTCATGACGTGAATTTTTCACCACCCCAAGAGAAAATGTCTTAGTCGGTTGGGATTGCTGTAACAAAATACCTTCAAATGGGTGCTTCAGTTTCTATTTCATGCAGTCCTGGGGCCGTGAAGTCCGAGGTCAGGCAGATCCAGTTCCTGGTTCTGGCCCTATGCTCACACCGTGGGAGGGGCAAGCAGCTTTCTCAGGCTTTTTTTATAAGGGCACCAACCCCATTCACAAGGGCGAGGGCACTGCCCTCAGGACCTCATCCCCTCCCAAAGCCCTACCTCTTAATACCATGTGAGAGAGGTGTGGGGGGTGGATTTCAACATAAGAATTTGGCAGGGACACAGACATTCAGACCATAGCAGTAGACGTGTTTAAAATGCTGTTTGAAAAATAAGGTGGGAGTGTGATAGAAATAGAAAGCTCAGGCCAGCAGGAGTGGTGGTTAAGGTGCTGGACTCCCACATGTCTGCCCATGGTTCAAGTCCTGGTCCTGGTTGTTTGCTTTCTTACTTTCCATCTCTTTCTGTCTCTCTTTGGTGAGCACACGTGCCCTATGGCAAATTTAAAATAATAATTAATGTTTCTAAAAAATAGAAAGGTCATGAGTTTTTGAAACCAGAGTTTTGTAAAGGTTCAGTCTCTTCCCAGGTGTCTCTGTCCCTGATAGCGTCTCCAGCCAGGTGTCCAGGCCTTCCGCCTGGGCCCTCGAGAACAGTCTCCTTGCGGGTGGCAGAGGAGTTGTGTGCTTGGCTTCCTCGGGCCTGTCAGTCAGGAGATTCTGAGAGATTTGTGAGAAGACAGGACAGCTGCCGGAGGGAACGCCCTCCCTCAGCCTCCTGGGCCATTCTCAGTCAGCAGGCCCAGCTTTGGCTGTGGTTGACCATGGTTTTTGTGTTATTTATTGCTTTGTTCCTACAAAAGGGCCTAAGGTTGCTTCTGAAAATTAAGCTAATGAGGGCGTTTAAACAAAACAGTAAAATAAAATAAAAACGTGTGGCAGTCAGAGTTAAATTTAAAACCGATGAGGGTCTGGAAAAGTACCTCTGGGCTGAGTCAGTAAAGAGACAAAGGCCTCTTCCTGGATAATGGGAGAAACCTACTCCTGATTTTATATCTTTAAAGAAATTCTTCTATTGTTTCAGAATTTATTTGATTTTATTTGTTATTAGTTTTTACTTTGCTGTAGAGTACATGGGCTCACCAGAGAGAGAAAGCCTCCAGGTACGGGACTTGAACCGCAGTTGGCCATGGGGGTGTCTAGCACCTTAACCACCATACCACCTGCTGACCCCCTGATTTTATACATAATGTTGAGGATTACTTTTTCCTTTTTAAAGAGTTATTTTTTTATTTATCTATTTTATTTCAATTTGACCAGAGAGGAATGGGGAGGAGAATGGGGAAGCGAAAGAATGAGCCGCCAGGTCCGAGACTCGAACTGCAGTCCAGCGCCCTTAACCACCACGCCACCTGCCAGCCCCGAGGATTGCTATTTCTTGACTTGGTTCCAGCAACGAGACTCAGCTAAGAAGTGAACCGTGCGTCCTGTGTTGGTTCTGTTTCGGGAGTGGTGTTCCCCAGAGGTCTGGCTCTCTGGCTCAGTTTCATTACACATGGCACACAGAGAGGCGGAGGAAGCTGGGGTGAGGATCTGGCTGGCTTTCTAGAAACCTCAGACCGGCTGCTTCAACTTCCCAAGCCTGCTTTTTCAGAGCCTTTGTCGGGAGTACCTCTGTGGCTGTGGCACCAGTGGCCACTAACAGGGCGCCCTTGTTTCCGTGC